AGCCTCGGCCCCCCTTTCGGGAGTGCTGCCACCGGTTTAGCTGCCGCTGGCTCCACAGTTCGTGGAGAAACCAAGTCCGGGACAACACCAAGCTCTTGATTCTCCTGGAAAAATCGAACTTTGAGTGAGAGAGAGAAGAAGAAAGTGTGAGAAGTTACTTGTGCTCCATCCTCGTCGGGAGCTCCGTGGTTCTCATCAGCATCAGTGGCTTCGCCCTCCAGAAGACTCATGAATCGCGTACTTCGAACCGGAGAAGCTCTTCCATTGCTTGCAAGAGCGTGGAACCGGAATGGTTCCAAGCTGGGGAGCTCCTGGGCCACGGGAACGAATCTGGGAACTTGGTGTAGCTCCTCGTCCTCCTTTCTTCTTGGAGCAATCAAGGAAGCGCCACCACTGCCGGTGTGAGACGAAACTCTTGCGTAAGTGACATCGCCAATTCTCACGCCGCCCAGGGGGAAGTCTACTGTCGAGGGTCTACTCAGCGAGAAGCTCGAGTCCGCGAAATTGTGAGCCGGGCAGACGCCATCGTTCTCTTCCAAGTTCTCTTCTTCCTCTTCTTCTTCCTGTTCCTGTTTGAAGCTGATCCTCTTGTGCCGCGAAGCCAGCGTGTTGGCCCCGTGAACCGAGGCATCGCATTCATGGCAGAGATAGGCCTCGTCCGCCTCGCAATACAAGCTGGCGCGTTGCATCTCACACACATCGCAATTCGGCCTCTTCGCCATTGTAGCAATCTCTGCCGGATCGAAGAATGCGAAGAAATCTCCGGCTGCTTCGGCCTCGAAATATCCACTCCAATCTAATTTCGGCGCCTCTCACCTCGAATCAGACAATGCAGCCGTGAAATCGAAGCTCCTCTCCCATCTTGTCTCGACGGTCCACGCACTGCTCCAAGAACCCTAATCCGCCATGGCCGCGTGTAATCTGCTGAGATATTTTTTTCCCCGTGAGGCAAAATGACGTAGCGCGCAATATTTGTCGAATATTCTGTATGAACAGGTGCGGATATTCGAGCCGTACTTTCTTGCTAGAGCCCTAGAACCGGGAATGGATACGGAAGAGCTTCTCGAGGCAGCATGGCGGACAATGCGGCTGGGAGTGCGATGCCCGGCGCGGCAGCCGACCTGGGACGCGATTCTCATCACGGCCGCTGGTCCCGATCAAGCGCGCCTCTACCAGCTGCATTTGCAGCGCGCAGTGGATCGGGGAAGGATTGCCAAGCACACGCTCGTTCTCGCCGTGCCGGATCCGCTGGGGCGGCGCATTGGATCCGGCGGCGCCACGCTCGGCGCGATCAGGGAGCTCGATGCAGCACTGCGATCGAAGGTTTGGATTGGAAATTATTGGTAGGAGGAAATTTTGGCATCTTGTTTGGTTCTTCTACCTCCAGGGCGATGGTTTTTCTGGGAAGCGTGTGTTGTTGGTTCATGCCGGCGGTGATTCGAAGCGTGTGCCGTGGGCGAATGCGATCGGGAAAGCTTTCCTGCCATTGCCAATTCTCGCTCAAGATGCCTGTGCTGATGAGCCAGTGCCACTGCTCTTCGATCACATCCTGGCCGTCTCGTCGCTCGCTGCTGCGCAGTTGCCAGATCGAGGTAACTTTGCTCTTTTCGTGGTGTTTCTAAGTTCCATCGTTTGTTCTTCGTGTAGGTGGATTGCTTATCATGACTGGTGATGTTCTTCCTTGTTTCGATGCTTCCAAAATGACAACCCCGCGCGATGGTGCTCTTGTCGTGACCGTGCCTACCTCGCTTGCAGTGGCTGCGAATCACGGGGTCATCCTTTCACAGAAAACAGATGATGGGACTAGCGCTTGTTTTGCGGTGGAAGATCTTCTCCAAAAACCGAGTAGAGACGAGATGTACGCTAGAGGCGCTGTTTCTTCGGACTCCACCGCGCTCCTCGACACTGGCATCTTTGTCGTCGTCGGTGACGCTTGGGACGATTTAATTCGGATGTCACTAGCGGAGTTGGATCCATTACGAATGCTGCTAGATAACGCACAAGAGGTAACTCTCGATTGTTCCCTTTTTGGTTTTTTTGTGCCGATGGACTTTGTCTTGTAGATGAGTTTGTATGAAGAGATTGCTGGAGCGTGGGTGCCTGCGCGTCATAGCTGGTTACGAAACCGTCCACTGGGAAAGCTTCTGGTCCAGGAGCTGGGAGCACAACGCTTGTATCATTACTGCGCGTGTGGGTGACGAGCCTTCCTGTTTTGAGACCACCAGCATGGATTTACTGTGCGTGCTGATGATGCAGACGACCTCCAGTTCCTCCATTTCGGAACGTCCTCTGAAATCCTGCAGCATCTGGCAAGTGATGACTCCGGCCCGATCCACCGCAGGCAATTCACTCTTGTGTCCACCAACGAGGACTCTGCCACTCGTCTTGCTTCTTCCTCGGTTATTCTGGCCTCCCGGGTTGATGGTGGTGCGGCCGTGGGTGACAGCAGTCTGGTGTTCAACAGCAGTTTATCGAGCAAAGTAAAAGTTGGTTCCAGCTGCGTGGTCTCGGGTGTGCATCACACCGAAGATTTTTTGGAGCTAAGCTTGCCGGACGGACACTGCCTCTGGGATGTGCCACTGAAGGATAGTCTTGGCCGTGTCATGCTTTGCTGCGGCCTTGGGGACAATCCAAAACTTTCGGCTACTCAGGGTGGAACATTTTGTGGGAGAACATGGGACCAAGTGCTTGGACGATTGCAGATCGAGAAGAATGATGTATGGACAGATGCCAGTACACAGCAGGACTTGTGGCACGCAAAGTTATTTTCGGTTCAGTCGGCAGGAGAACGGACCGAAAACTTTACGTTTGCAATGTGGCTGATGGGAAGCTGCAGGGATACAAGTATTTCTAAGGCCTGGTTAGCTGCAAAACGTCTCAGTTTTGCAGAGCTGCAAGAGTTCACTGATTTTGAGGCAATGCACTTGGGCATGAGCGACCTCCACGCGGAACTTGCTGCAGAGTTTGCGACAGGAAGCCTTGAAGATGGCTTGATGGACAGGAACTTCAGCTTACTTGCGAGAGAAATGCAGTTTGGTACCACCGTGGGAGCCGAAACTTTTCAAAGGCTTCTTTCTCGGGTTCCTGCGGAAGCTTCAGTACCGGCAAGCAGAAGATCTCAAGTGCGATCTGACTTGAGCAGAGGCATTGGAGACAAAAATGCAGCACGCGTTCACGAAGCTCAAGCTTTTGAAGCAGTCGCAGCAGAGACTTCAGCAGCAGTTTGCCAAGGTAATAACCTTGACGTTCTGTGGTCTTTTGTTTCAACATGTCCTTTACAGATGGTGTGGGAAGTAAACTACTTCGTCTTCAACCATCTAGATCTTCGATTGTAAACCTTCCCGTTCGGCTGGACATCGTTGGTGGATGGAGTGACACTCCTCCCTGGAGCATAGAACGCAAAGGCTGCGTGCTAAACATGGCAGTCTACTTGAACGGAGCAGCGCCTGTTGGAGCAGAAGTGCTGCTCAAGAAGATTCCTGGCGTGTGCCTCCGAGATGACACTGGTAACAACTGCTGGATAGAAGAGCCAACGAGTTTAAGAGCTCCTTTCGATGAGAACGATCCCTTTCGCCTCGTCAAGGCCGCGCTGGTGGTAACAGGCTGGACAAGTCCGGAAAACATCGTGACAAGTTCTCCTTGGGGTCTGGAGATCAACACTCGAGCGTCTGTTCCCCGGGGCAGTGGCCTAGGTACCTCGAGCATTCTAGCAGCTGCGGTGATCAGAGGCTTACTCGAAGTGAGTGGCGGTAACTCGAGCAAAGACAGCGTCGCAGCGCTGGTGTTGGTGCTGGAGCAACTTATGGGAACTGGGGGAGGCTGGCAGGACCAAGTTGGAGGGATCTATCCTGGTCTAAAGCTCACGACGAGCCTGCCATCGAAACCACTCACATTCTCGATCGAGACAGTACCTTTGCCTCCGGATTTCCGGGAAGAACTTGAGCATCGAATGCTCCTTGTCTTCACTGGACAGGTAAGTGTTCTTCAGTTTTGGTTACAAGCAAACATCAAGCTTTCGTTTCTTTTCTTCCTTTTTCCAGGTGAGACTGGCACACAAGGTTCTCCAGAAAGTTGTCAAGCGTTACTTACAGCGAGACTCGCTACTGCTGTCGTCGATCCAACGCCTCGTGAAGCTGGCAAAACTGGGACGGGATGGTTTTCTCCAGCAGGATCTCGACTCCGTGGGGAAGATAATGCAAGAGGCATGGCAAATCCACCAGGAACTCGATCCCTTTTGCAGCAACGTTCTTGTCGATTCGATTTTCAAGAAGATCAGCCATCTGAGCTGCGGCTACAAGCTCGTAGGCGCTGGTGGGGGTGGATTCGCGATTGTCATGGCCAAAGACAGGGACTCGGCAGGACTTATCAGAGAAGTTCTCTCCTCCAGCTTCAAGGATTCGATCGAGCTTTACAGGTGGAGTTTGATGGTCTAAAGTAGACACCATGATAAGGCTTAGTTTTTTTCTTTGCTAAATGGAGAAGTTGCTACCTCTGAAACTTGGTAAAAACTTCCAAATAAATTGAGAAGCCTTTAACGAATAGGTTTGAGGTGGAGAAGTTGCCACAAGAGGTCTTGATGCTTATTCTAAGCAAACGTGAGGAGGATATTTGCAACTGTGACGCTAGTGCCAAATTCCTTCGTGACTTCATTGGTGGTGAGTCTACCGTTTTTTTGCTAGCATGAACTAAAAACGATGGTACATGGTGTTTTCGTGAGGAAACAAACACATGGATGGCATGCAGAGGGCTAATACTTGGATGGCATTGATTAGGACAAATCTAGAAAAAAAATTACGAAAACCCTAAACCCTTAAAGCCGGGAACCCTAATTCCTCAACCCATTCGATGATCGCGGCAGTGTGCTGGGTGCCGAAGGGCGTGGCGAAGGCGCTGCCCGACGAGACGCCAAGATCTCGCGAGGAGCTCGATGAGGCGCTGCAGCAGGGCCTCGAGGAAGATCCGGCGGAGCAAAGGTATGGATGAAGAGAGTGCATTGCGAATGGGGAAAGATTTTCTGGGAAATTTGCTGCCCCAGCGCCGAGAACGAGGAGAGCGAGGACGAGGATGGAATGCGTGTCGAGGGAGACGATATTTCGACCGCATTGGCAGCCGCGAGGGCGCTCAAGAGTAGTGGAGCGGCAAGTGCTGTGAGTGACGGCCTTGCGGAGCTTAACATGGATGCGTACGATGACGAAAACGAAGGTTGGCTTTTTCTTTGTACTTTTTTCTTTTCTTCTTCGAACACAATCTTGCGCAGATATTCGAGTTTTTGGGAATGGTGGTGTCAGTGCGGCTTACTATCAACACGGAGAGAAGGATCCTTACCTTGTGGACGATGATGTAAGTCATTGCCTTCTCATGATATTTTCCTCCATTTTTTTCTTTTCTCTGGGGAACTAAAGCATGGCTCTCAGGATGAAGATGAGGAGGAGATAGAGGATAAAACAATCAAGCCTACCGATCTTCTGATTGTGACTGCCAAAACCGAAGATGAAGTTGGAATACTCGAGGTACTTTTTTTTTTTTTTCCTTTGGCTTCGCGCTATTCTTCTAAAGCTAGAGAAATTCGTGTTGTCAGGTGTACATCTATGAGGAAAATGACGATAATAAGTACGTACACCACGAGGTACTTCTTTCGTCTATACCCTTTTCTCTCGCATGGCTGGATTGCAACGTAAACGGCGGCGACAAGGGTGAGCACAAATACGGAGGGACAACTAACGTTCCAGTTTTGCAGGAAACTTTCTCGCTGTTGGTACTTCAGAGCCAGAAATTGAGATATGGGACCTCGACCTGGTAAGGAACAAGCATGGCTTTTACCGTTCCTCATTTGCTCATGCACAGGCAACTGAAGTTAAGCCAGTGGGTGTACTGAATCCCGACCCAAGCAAGAAAAAGAAAACAAAGTCCAAGGTATGGTGCTCAAACTAAAACTTGTTCGGATGTTAGCGTGCTAAAATTACCAGAGGAAACAAAAAACTGCAGTGTTGGGTCTGGCATGGAACTATGAGTACAGGTGTGTTTTCTTTAGATTTTTTCTCGGATTGTAGAAATTGAACTGCTGCGCTTTCCAGAAACGTACTGGCAAGCGGAAGCGCTGACAAGGCCGTGAGAGTTTGGGATGTAGTCGCACAAAAGTGCGAGCACACTCTTAAATCTCATGCTGCTGAGGTTTGGACAAGTTTTGTTACGGAAATCAGAATGACTAACTGTCTTGTACGTAGGTACAATCTATTGCATGGAATCCAAAGGAACCGACGGCTTTGCTTAGTGGATCTTATGACTGCTCGGTGGTTTTGGTATGCTCTTTTTTCCCTGTTCAATCGCAGTGGCCTGTCACTAACTCTAATTTAGACGGATATGAGAACTCCGGCAGAGGCGGGACTTCGGTGGACTGTCTCTAACGATGTCGAGTGCGTTGCCTGGAATCCCCACGTTTCACATTCGTTTTCTGTACGTAATGGTTTTAGGCACTTGCATGGTTGTTGACTCTTTTGTACAATGTTTTTTATGTAGGTGGGAACAGAAGAGGGATATGTGTACGGGTTCGACGTAAGAACTGCAACCAAGGAAGGTCCAAACGCAAGCATCTTTACACTCCATGCACATCAGAAAGCTACTTGCGCAGTTTCCTACAACTCGGCTGCTCAGAATGTAAGCTTGTAGACGCTTTTCAGATGGGATTTATGCAAATGTTGTTTTGCAGCTACTGGCAACAGCGTCTTTGGATAAAACGGTCTGTGACTTACACTTTGTCTTGCTAGTGTACTATGGAACTGATGACGAGTACGCAGGTGAAATTGTGGGATGTGACAAACGATACGCCCACACTCGTTGCAAGAACCAGTCCCGAAGTGGTAATGGTCCCTTCCGAGCTCAACAAGTTACTAAAGTGTTTGGACTGATTTCACAGGGCGGTATCTTCTCAGCGTCGTTCTGTAAGGACTCTCCCTTTTTAATGGCTATTGGTGGTACTACCGGCGAGCTACATGTAATACTGGATCATCTTTTCTCTACAAGCAGCTATAACTTGCGATTCTTGCAGGTGTGGAATACGTTAACAGATTCTAATGTTGCAAATCGTTTTACAAGCACAAATGCAAATCAGGTGGCCTTTTAGTCTTTGCTCTCACTATTACTATTTTGTTCAGTATTTGCCGACTTTTTGGTACGGACAAGGAAAAGTCGGGCACCCTCTTGTGGCGCTTTCTGACAAGCAATAAATGTCGAGATCATCTTTGTTCCATCCCGTGTTCAAGTCAACAACAATCTCTATCACCACAACTACTGTTCCACGTATCCTTGGATCTGGAGTCCTATTTCACCTTGTTCGTCCTAGGTGCTTCGGTATGGCTTCAACTCAATCTAGTAAACAGTCCTGGTTCTACGTCTTATTTCTGGAAGGAACCTCTGTGTTCGATGCTTGGCTAAATTCGTCGTCATTCCAGGTTCGTTGATGTCATTTGAATTTAAAATTCCATTTGCTTGACGCTTTCTTTCTTTCTTTCTTTCTTTCTTTCCAGGTCTCGCAAGTTCTCCTCACGCTGCCATACTCTTTTGCTCAATTGGGCTTCGTCTCTGGCATTGCGTACCAAATTCTCTACGCCGCAATGGGATGCTGGTCGTGCTACATGACATCGAGCCTGTACGTGATTTACAGAGAAAAGAGAGCAATGAGGGCCAATACTTTCGTCGATTATGAAGCCCAGAGCATCCTGGTTTGAGATTTATGAAAGCTTTTCGTATGAGTTGACAATATGTGCTTCTGGATCAGTGGTATGAAGTGCTCGATGGGTTACTTGGTTCAAATTGGAAGCTCGCCGGATTGGTAGTGAACCTCGGTTATCAGATTCTTACGTGCGTTATCTTCTTGGTCGGCTGTTCAAGGTATGAGTTTGACAAAATTCGATACTACAATGTCTTCACAAGTTCTTGCATATCAGCTTATCGTACTTACTAAACAGTTATGTGGACAAGAGAACATGGACAATCCTGCTTGTGTTTTGCTTCATTTTGATCGTTTTTATCCCAAGAGCACAGCACTACCGGATCTGGTCGTGCATAGGAATCGTGGCAACATCTTATACGGCATGGTATATAACCATCGCTACCATTTACCACGGAAAGGTCATCAACGTCTCGATCGTTTTTCTTTCTAAACTAAAATCTTTGACTACAGAATTCCAATGCTACGCATTCTGCTCCAAACAACACGGCAGGATACTTCGTTGGTGCGACCAACCTGCTCTATACTTTTGGAGGTCACGCGGTAACCATGTAAGCGTAAGCTCGCCTTTTCTTATTTCATCTTGAAATCTCACTGGAAGAAACAAATCGCAGTGAAATAGTTGATGCGATGAAGAAGCCAGAGAAATTCAAGACGGTCTACTTCTACTGCTCAGCCTACATACTCACGCTTACTTTGCCGTCCGCCATCGCTGTGTACTGGGCATTTGGAGACTCCATGGCGCACCACGCGTACTCTATCGTGGTTCTACCGGACTCTATGTTTCGAGTCACGGCAATCGTGCTCATGCTCGTCCACCAGGTAACTTGATCCAGGTAAAAGAACATATAAAACAGTGCTTTTCTTTTAACACTTGTTCCCATTCATCCAGTTCATGCAGTTCGGTTTCCTGTCGCTTCCAGTTTTCATGAAATGGGAGAGGCTGCTGGGCATTCATGGATCTAGCAACTATTACTTGAAATCGATTTCCAGAATTCCTGTAGTTCTGGTTATGTGGTTCGTGGCCATTATGGTTCCTTTTATCGGCCTCATCGATTCGGTTGTGGGAGCGGTGTTTGCGAGCTTCAGTGTCTACGTTTTGCCATGTACGGCTCATATGGTGCTCTTCAAGAGCTCATCGTATAGAATGGCAAGTAACTTCTTATTAGACTTTTCTTTCTTCACTAACATATCGCATTTGTTATAGATTTCCGTGGAACAGCCACCCTCTTGGATGCCATGGAATTGGATTGGCATGTACTGCGTGAATCTGGCAGTAGTACTGTGGGTTTTGATCGTGGGAGTGGGTTTTGGAGGATGGGCCAGCCTCGTTGCGCTCCGGCATAACATCAATAGCTTTGGCCTCTTTCCACAGTGCTACCAATGCAAATCGTCTTAGTTCGCTCGACCACCTTGTGAATGGTAAGTACAGCTACGTCGTAGAGCTGGAACTTAACTTGTTTTTGCTCAGGAGCGATTCAGTCTTGCAAGAAAGCTGATCTAGGATTTTCTTCTCACATAGTTTCCAGATCCATGGAAGTTCCTTGGGCTTTCTTTTCACGCTGACGTGGGAAAGGTCGAAAAACAATGTTAAATGGTGCTTTGGCGAGTAAACACACAGAATCTAATAGTCAATTGCGATCGTTGGTTTTTTCCAAACCTCTCAAGCATGACACTGATGGGCTCCTGCATGGAATCTGAAAATCAATTGTTTTTTTCTTTCCAGTGCTCCCTTAATTTCCAAGTCTTGCGAGAATAAGCTTGTGGAATCTCAGTTTTAATGATATACAAACAATGGTGCGAGGTTCTCCAAAGCCTGAAGTACTAATAGTAAAATATAACATGTCAGGGCTGAAAGCTTTTGATCACAGCTTATCTTTGATACGTAGGGTTGAATTAAAAACTTGCAAGAAATAAGGTCGCGAATAAGATGGACGACATTGTTTTCTCCCGAGAGGGGGGATCTTCCTTGTCGCCGGACGATTCATCCATAGCAGGAGGCGCAATTTAGGGTAACAGAGCAGCGATGCCAGAGATTTTGGGATTATAGGGCGGATGGTGGAGACGCTGGAGAAGGGTCCGTTGCGCGAGATTGTGGCGCAGCTCACCAGGCAATGGTTTCTAGAGGCGCTGGAACTTGCCATGGCTGGCGATCGCCAGATGCAACAATTGATTGGCAAAATGTTTTGCACGGGCTATGGATGCCACGCCAATCTCAGCCAAGTGAGTATAACTAGTCGATATCTCTTCTTTTCTCTCTTGTATTGATTGTTCTTGGGCGCAGGGAATAGAATGGTTGAAGAGATCGGGCATGCCCGCCGCCGAGATAGAGGAGTTCCTCCACTCTCCTTCTGATGATGGCGATGCACTGTGACTTTACTTCCTCTTGTAAAAACTTTCAAAGACCAATAAGGCTAGGTTTTTAGGTTTGCTGTTGGTGCCGAATTTTTTTTGAAGTGCCTTGGTGGTGAGAAAGAGATTAGATTGTACTCTACTTACGTGGTAATTAACTATCGTAAGCATTATAAAGCATGGGTGAAGCAGTGTAGTGATGAACTAAAAACGGGCTTGCAGAGGCTAGTACTTTATGGTTGTGATTGGCATTGATTGGCCAAAGCTTGAGAAATGGGTGGGATGATCCTTTGCTTCCTGGGCTGCGTCGAAGGGGCGTTCCCCTGAACGCAATCAACAACTTCTGCCGTGCGTATGAGATTGTCAATGCAAAGCCCAGACGGGATCTTCACGAGGACGATGGTGGTCTTCCAGCCGCTCAAGGTTCATCGCTTCACTATTTCTGTTCTTTCTTATGACTCCCCATGCACGCAGGTGACGATTATCAATTTTGAAGGGCACGAACAAGACCAGGTTGTGGAGGCGAAGCGCTTCCCGGACGCAAACTCCCCCACGTACAAGGTTTGTTAAAAACATGATTTGCACAGAAGAAGGAAGAAATCATCTTTTTCAGACCGTATACATTGAGGGAACGGACTTTTGAGAGCACGACTACTTTGGTCTGTCTAGAGGAAAGTCGGTCTTGTTGCGGTATGCATTCCCAATAACGTGCGTATGTGCTGGAAGACTGATATGGAATCAACGAAGAGAGAGATCCCTTACACCCTAAGCCAACTGGTTAAAAGGGTGATCACTTGATTGTGGGGGCACAGCGCGGCGGCAAGGGCAAGGAGATATGTCGTCACTCAGCCGGGAGCTCGTGTTCCTCATCTTGCAGTTCCTGGATGAGGAGAAATTCAAGGAGACGGTGCACAAGTGAGGAGATTTGTGGTTTATTCTTGTTGGTGGATGTAAGTGTTGTGTGATTTTGGCAGGCTGGAGCAAGAATCTGGCTTCTTCTTCAACATGAAGTACCTTGAAGATCAGGTCCAGAATGGGGAGTGGGACGAGGTGGAGAGGTACTTGTCTGGCTTCACCAAGGTGGATGACAATCGCTACTCCATGAAGATTTTCTTGGAGATAAGAAAGCAAAAGTACCTCGAGGCCTTGGACAGGTGAGTGACTAGTTCTCTCTCTCTCTCTCTCTCTCTCTCTTTTTTTGCTTTTCTCTTATCTCTTGTGGCGAGCCGATCTGTGTTGTTTGCAGGCAAGATAGAGCGAGGGCAGTGGAGATACTAGTCAAGGACCTCAAAGTGTTTGCGTCCTTCAACGAAGATCTGTACAAGGAGCTTACACAGCTTCTTACGCTGGGAAACTTCAGGTTTGAAGTGTAACAAGGCCCTTTTGTAGGCTGTCCTGACACCCTATGGACTTGGTTGCAGAGAAAACGAACAGCTGTCCAAGTATGCGGACACGAAATCTGCCCGGACCATAATGCTATTGGAGCTTAAGAAACTGATTGAGGCCAATCCTTTGTTCTGGGAGAAGCTTGCATTTCCGGGGCTCAAAGCGTCACGGCTCCGAACGCTGATTAATCAAAGGTGCGTCCCTGCTTTTCCAGCTACTTCTGTGCTGATAGAAGAAATACATTTCTTTTTTTCTTTTTTCCCAGCCTCAATTGGCAACATCAGCTTTGCAAGAATCCTAGGCCCAACCCAGATATCAAAACTCTGTTTGTAGATCATACCTGTAGCGCGCCGAATGGAGCCCGCGCGCCACCACCAGCAAACAGTACCTTGGTCGGGAGTCTTCCGAAAGGTGGCGGGTTCCCCCCCTTGGGTGCGCACATCGTACGTGCAACTTTCAGGCTTTACTTTTACTGTCTAACAGCTTTGGTTTTGAAACGTGTACAGCCTTTTCAACCAGCGGCCCCTACAGCTAGTGCACTTGCAGGCGGGATGGCCAATCCAAATCCTCCGTCACATCCAGGCGTTGTTGGAGGGCCTGCTGCTCTCGCCGGAGCTCCGAACCCAGGTCTGGTTTTTGTTCTATTGCCGCTTTCAAGTTTTCAGCCGAGTTTCTTTCAGCTGCAATGCTAGAGCGACCCAGGACGCCTCCGCCAGCCCCTACGGTTGATTTCCAGACGGCTGATTCCGAGCACCTAATGAAGCGAAACCGACCTGTTGTGGAAGAGGTCGAGATGAAAGCGATAGTTTGGACTTTGTAAGTGACTTGCAAATGCAGGTGAACTTTCCGGGACCAAACATTCAGCAAGCGTCATACACGATAGATGATATTCCAAAGACTGTTGCGAGGACCATCAACCAGGGTTCCTGTGTTGCGACAATGGACTTCCACCCTTTGCAGCAAGTCATTCTTTTAGGTACAGTGCCCGCCGTGGTAGAAACGCTCTGATCTTTCTTTTTTCTGGCAGTTGGTACAAATGTGGGTGAAATTGCTATTTGGGATGTGGCCACGCGGGAACGCCTCGCGCTGAAAACGTTCAAAGTCTGGGAGGTTTCAGTGTGTTCTATGCCTCTCCAGGTCTGCTCATGTCCTTTTTATGTCTAATTCTAGCGTTCTAACGTGCTTTACAGACTGCTCTCGTTGAAGACCCAGCAGTTGCTGTTACGAGTTGTTTGGAGTCCAGATGGAAATTTTATAGGTGCGCGCGATTGTCATATGCTGTTGAGCTAACTCGTTTTGCATGCGTGCAGGGGTGGCTTTCAATAAGCACATTGTTCAAGTTTATCAGTATTTTGGAGGCGTCGAGCTACGGCAGCAAGTGGAGGTATGTACGCATTGTTTATACCTTGAGAAGACGAAAACACTTGAATGTTTCTCTTCCAACGGATTGATGCGCATGTGGGGAGTGTGAACGATCTTGCATTTGCCCATCCAAGCAAGCAACTGTGCATAATTTCTTGTGGCGATGACAAAACGATCAAGGTCTGCATAATCTTTGAGAAAAGTATGGACTGAAAGGGCGATGAAAAAACCAGGTGTGGGATGCGGTGAGTGGTCGCAACAAATACACTTTTGAGGGTCACGAAGCGCCAGTGTACTCTGTTTGTCCGCATCACAAGGAAAGTATACAGGTAAGATTGTGAGTTGAGCGTGTACTCTGATTTCAACACTGTTGTTCTTGGCAGTTCATATTTTCTGCAGCAATGGACGGCAAAATCATGGCGTGGCTGTACGATTGCTTTGGTTCACCGGGTGACTTGGATGCGCCTGGAAGTTGGTGCACAACAATGGCCTACAATGGCACAAGGTTTGTCTCGTTTGTCTCGTTTCTATCGTAAGACACGCGCTAAACGAGGCTATGTGTTTTGTAGGCTCTTTTCGTGCGGAACTAGCAAGGAGGGTGACTCATTCCTTGTCGAGTGGAATGAAAGTAAAGGGGCTATCAAACGCACGTACATTGGATTCCGTAAGAGAATGCCAAACGTTGTCCAGTTCGACACTAGGAACTGCTTTCTAGCGGTTGGGGACGAGTTCTCGGTCAAGTTCTGGGACATGGACAACATAAACTTATTGACCTCCATCGATGCCGACGGCGGATTGCCTGTAAGCACTTTTTCGTTTCGATGAAGATTCGTTGCTATAACGTTCTCTGTAGGCTTGCCCGCGAATTCGTTTCAACAAAGAAGGCTCTTTACTCGCAGTAACAACAATCGACAATGGTTTCAAGATTTTGGCTAATGCAGATGGCTTGCGGCTTGTACGGTCTTTTGAGGGTAACAAAGTACCTCCGGAAACAAAGGTATGACGGTCTATCCATGAAGGAATTTGTAAATTTGCATGTTTCTTCAGGGGAACGGTGCAAGTGCATCAGGCAGCGGGGTTGTGGCCATTGACAGACCAGTTTCACAACCGGTACCCTTTACTGGAGGGGTATGGACGGAAATTTCTTTTGAAATGCCTTATGACAAATATAACTGCAGAACGGCATTGAAAATGGACGCCCGGAGACAAAACCCCGAACTACAGACGACTCAAACAAACTGTGGAAGCTAACTGAAATTGTGGAACCCTCTCATTGTCGTGCATTAAAGCTGCCAGATACTCTACCAGCAAGCAAGGTACTTGACTATTCATAAGCTTGAGTCTTTACACTTTCTGCAACAGATATCAAGACTTACCTTCACAAACAATGATCTGGGCTTATTAGCGCTCGCTTCTAGTGCAGTTCACAAGGTTTGGAAATGGTCTCACAATCCACTTGGAAGAGTATGTGTGATGATCTGAATCTAGACCTTACCGATCCTGACACTCATTTTGTTCTTACAGGAAACTGCTAGTTTTCCACCACAACTAGCCCAGCCATCAAGTGGGATTCTCATGACCAATGATACGACCGAGAACAATCCAGAAGAAGCTGTGC